CCCTCTCTACGCCTCAGTATCCTACTATTATACCCCAGATCTTGAAAAAAAATTGGTCGCAAATCGTCGTTTTATAAGGCCGTGTACTGCCAGATTAAAATCCCGTTAGACCGGTGACATAATGACCTTGAAGTGACGGCCTCGGAATGACTCGAATCTCACCTTGGCACACAGAGTTTCCCCCTGGCCAAACACGATGATCGCCCCCTCACCTGTCAGACAGCACTGACCGCGGTCATCCACGCCAAACGTTGGCGCTGACGTGTCATACGTGCTCACATATTGGCCAGCGCATATTTTACAGTGACGTCAATTTGCTGGGGCATTGGTCCGGCTTGTGGTCAATCCCTGGTCAGGCTTGTGGTCAATCCCTGGTCAGGCTTGTGGTCAATCCATGGTCTGGCTTGTCATTGACCTCGAGTCAGGCTTGTGGTCAATCCCTGGTCCGGCTTGTGGTCAATCCCTTGTCCGGCTTGTGGTCAATCCCTGGTCCGGCTTGTGGTCAATCCCTGGTCAGGCTTGTGGTCAATCCATGGTCTGGCTTGTCATTGACCTCGAGTCAGGCTTGTGGTCAATCCCTGGTCCGGCTTGTGGTCAATCCCTTGTCCGGCTTGTGGTCAATGCCTGGTCCGGCTTGTGGTCAATCCCTGGTCAGGCTTGTGGTCAATCCCTGGTACGGTTGTGATTAACCACTGGCTTGTGGTTTACCCATGGTTCGACTTATCATTGACCCCGGGTCGGATTTGTGGTTGTTGACCAATGGTCTGGCTTGTGGTTTAAACCCGAGATCACTTATTATCTAAACAACCCGATTTAATTACCAAATTTTATTAAGCCCAGCAGAGGTGCCCCATACTAAAGCCCCCCCCCCCCCTCCGCCATTGTAGAGGTGTTGGAATGGAATGCGATGTAGCTAGATCTATCATCTCGTATTGTCTCAACACTGAACATGTCTGCTACGCATACACTTGCTCTGCTCCGGCTTTTCAAAGGATTAGACCAACGAAAAAATTCTAATATTTTAAAGACGAAACAGGAATTTCTTGATTCCAGAATTTGTGATCTCAAATTGCAAGTCCTATTCACACACGTGATGACCGTATTAGCCTAAACCTCGGACATTAGCTAAACCCCCTGAGACATTAACCCCCCCCCCCCCCCCCACCCCCCTCCCCGGGCATGTCTTGTTTGACCAGATCCCCCCAGCCAAGTTGGCAGCCCGTCTGTAGACCGGACAAGACCATTGGCGTTGGACGTGGAAAGTTAACCTCTCGTCTGTTTACTGTGCGGGGGTCAAGGTCACGGAATGACGACCGGTCAGCCTTATAGGGCGAACATGACCGGAATACGATTAGCCGTACACATGCTCGGCGGTGAGAATTGTCGGGGTTTAAATGTTTTTAAAGTGTCATGTCATGCCTTTAATGTCATGTTTAACAACAGGGGTGTCATTTAGAATACATTGTTCCTTGTCCTATTAGCATCTTCAAAGGTCATGTTATTATATGCTATCACTGTGCAGTATATTCATCCATCGGAGCACATTCCCCCCCCCCCCCCCCTCTCTCCGAACAAAATAGAATTTTTATAGAAATTATATAATTTCACCAGTGTACGCCACCTCCCCCTGGAGAAAAAAGTCTGAAAGAAACACTGGGCTCATTTCATCCCACTATCGTCAAAATTTGTTTATGTCAATGCGGTATAGCTCAACATCAAGTCAGTATTGTACCCCGCCATTTGTGTCATGTCAGTATTGTGTATGTCATGTCAGTATTGTGCATGTCATCTCACTATAGTCCCACCCCAGTGGTGTACCATGTCGTGACAAGCTTACCGAAACACCACAATTAATTTCCACTCCCTCCTTTCTTAGTACACGCACTAAACGAAAAGCATACAAATATACCCTCAAATAGAGGAGACAATATACACACTTTTATGCGGTGGAACACATACATCGATGACGTCATTACAAGAGAAAGAAAAATAAATCAAGCTTGACTTTTGTAAGTTCTGAAACAGGTGTTTTAATTTCACAACGTGCCGACAGTTTTCAGACTTATTTTTGTCACCTTCCATTGTCGCCTCCCATCTGCTGTTGACCTACCTGTAAACTACAGGTAATTTATAGAGCTGATGTAATAGCCAAACGCGACCTTTATCTGGGTAGGGGGGGGAGATGGTGACACGAACTAGATTGTGAGGCCTGTTTTAGACCATTGAGTTGCGAAATGTCAGAAAAGTGCACTGAAATTGTGTTTTTTTTTATTGTTTCACGCTAGATACTTATTCAAGTTTACAGTGGTTAGTATTGGGATATTTTTATGTGGACATTTCATCTGGACATTTCAATCATCACACAGAAATTGAGTTAAGAAGTCGTTTTTTCTTGCTTAGTTTAGTGAATTTGTCTCTTACCTAGATTGTTAATTTTCCCTTTCCTAGCTTACTGAATTTTTTTCTTGAGCTTAATTTTCACTTGCCCAGTTTAATGAATTTGTTCTTGCCTAGACTGTTAGCTCCCCTATTTTAGAGTCTATTGACCTTTCTTTTACCCTCCCCTATCCCCATCTTGTTGCTGTTGTTGTTGTTGAGATCTACCACACCCCCTGATCACGTGACAAAGCGTCCGGACATGTCGCTGCATGCGGTAACTTTTGATAATGACTAATTAATGACTGGCTAATTTCACCGGTGTAGTTAATTAGCGTTTTAATCAACACGTTATTTTAATTTAGTTCCTGCCTTGACTGCGATTCGGAAGGATAAAAGTATTACACAGAGGCATATATTGATCTTATTCTGAAAACCGATGTAAAAATGTCTATTAAATAAAATGCTATGCATTTTTTAACTACTTAGTCTTTATCTTTAGGCAGTTAACATTAAGTGTGTATGTGTGTGGGGGGGGGGAGTTAACAACAGTCATCTTTTATTACATAATAATTACAAATTATCGGACAGTGACCCCATATAGTTTATGGGGCCCTTAAGACAGCGTTCTCAACATAGCATTGCCCCCATCCTACCGTCCTACTCACAACAGCAACCCACAAGTCATAAATCCCCCCCCCCCCCCACCCTCAAGAATCACACGGTTATTACGTCCGTCCAGACGTCCAGCCACAGAATCACGTGATGCCCGTTGTTCTTATCAGCCCGCCATCTTAATTTTCTTCTAAAGCCCCAGCCGTGGTAGCCCTTTCTTGTCATCTTCAAACAAATTTACAAACAAGGACGTTAACTCTTCGAGGGAAGAGACAAGCGGGACGGATTTATGTCCCCTGGTAATCTTATCGCCTATCGTCTGCTGCGCATCTTTACTGCGCAGACCGGATGCCGGTCATAAATCTGTTTCAAGTTTTCAGTATAAAGCGAACATGCGATGTGCTGGTTGTAAATGTAGCTGCAATTACATGTTGGCACGAAATTGTTGGTGAAGACTACAACAGGTTGCTGACATTTCAAGCCCACTAAACCCTAACATGACATTTCAAGCCAGCGGCGTAGCCAGGATCGTCTCAAGGGGGGGGGGGGGTTCCAATTTTTACCCGGGGACAAACTTTGGATTTGCACCCCCCCCCCCTCAAACTTTCGATTTAAACCCCCGTCAAGCTTTCGATTTGCACCCCCCCCTCAAACTTTCGATTTGCACCCCCCCTCAAACTTTCGATTTGCACCCCCCCTCAAACTTTCGATTTGCACCCCCCTCAAACTTTCGATTTGCACCCCCCTCAAACTTTCGATTTGCACCCCCCTCATACTTTTTATTTATATACCGAGGGGTCTATGGGGGGGGGGGGTTATGACCCCCTTAACCCCCCTGCCTACGCCACTGTTTCAAGCCCACTAAACCCTAACATGACATTTCAAGCCCACTAAACCCTAACATGACATTTCAAGCCCACTAAACCCTAACATGACATTTCAAGCCCACTAAACCCTAACATGACATTTCAAGCCCACAAAACCTTAGCATGCCATTTCAATTTCACTAAAACTTAACATTTTATTTGAATTCGTTGACATTTAAAAACACCGATATATTTCTTGATTATTGCCTAAATGTTGATCGTTTTGTTTATTCCCGCCCTGCTAGCTTGGCCGTCTGTTAAATTAATTTCAATTTCCAGCAAAAACCAACAATTTTTTTTTATTTTAACGAGAAAATGTATGGACAAACAGCAACCAAACAAAAGATCTTCCTGCCGTAGATATTTTGCTGTCCACATTATTTCCATTTGTTTTCGTAAGAACCTCCCATAAAAAGTCGTCCTAAGCTATATTACCATCTGTTACAAAAAGGAGAACATAATGATCGATATTTTGTTTGTACTATACACAACTTTTTCTAGACCATTCTTGGTTATCATAAACGCATGGATACGCTTAAACCATACCAACCCTCGCCTTAGCAACCACACGGTTTACTTTCAACCACACCAAACTTTTGCTGAGCAACCACTAAACTCTAATCCAGGCACGCCCACTCGACACACCCACCACGTGACAGCTAAATTAATCCCAGGTCAGTGTTTTAAACTGTCGCCCCCCCCCCCCCCCCAACATGACGTAGATAATACGTCTTCCCTGGCTCAGACGTAAATAAGACGTCTTGTCAATCAATGTCACCTCGTCCTTCAGACCAGGCCTGTGTTTAAATATAGCTGACCTGAAACTTCAAATCGAGGCTGGTGTATCTATTCATGGTATCCGCACCGTTTCTAGATGCATCCAAAGCCACTGGAAACAGTTTAAAAATATTCATTAATATTATAATGAGCTGATTTTAAGGATTTTAAACAAATGGATTTTCCAACAAGCTGACGTGTACAGAATTTTAATTCCAATTACTAATCAGATTAGGTAAACTGTTATCTTGTAAAACACTTGAGAAATAAATTACTTTTTGTTTACTTTACCTTGTTCTAAAATATAAATTTAATTTAACTTCTTTATGATTGTTAATTTATGAATATTATGTTTTACTTTTCCAGCCTCAAAACTAGCTGGTCATGTTGATAGTGGCACGCACAAGTGAGAGTGTGTAACGAGCAGGTTCGAATCTCGAGGGGACTGTGTGAACTTCTCGAGGGGACTTTGTGACCCTCCACGATGGCCATCATCAGTTCGTTTCTCTGCTGGTCTAACACCAGAACAGGAAGTGCTGTTTGTGGATATTATACCTTGGTGAGTACTTACCTTCTTGTGTACCTTGTAAACTAAAGCTGGCTTGTGAATTTGAAGGCAAAATCTAGCCCACATATAGACTCTTTACACATATCATGGTACACATATCACGGTACATATATCATGGTACATATATTTGTACGCTAAAATCGGTACATCTGACTTTACATAAAAATTAGTATACATGTTTGAACATAAAAGCTGTTAACAAAACTTATTCACCAAAACTTATTCACACATTCGGTTCATGAACTTGTACAATAATGCCGGCCCATAAACAAACGATGGTTCATGAACTTTAATGTAAACCCCAGTATTGCCATAAGCAAACTGTGTATAGCTTCACGATGCAGGCTTTATACGCCCTAAGTCCTAAACACACCTGAGACCACAGAGACTTATATTAGAAGCTAGATCGTCCATCGATCGAGACTATTTAAAACTAATTCACCGAGTCGGTGGACCCCTGGGGTGTGCCACTAGGACTGGTCATCTGGCCAAGCTGACCAATGACCTGTAAATGACCCTTAAATGACCTGTTATTCAAACAATGACCCGGGTCGTATTCCCCATCCGCCTGTGACCGTTTCACACTGTTTCACCCGACCAGTTATGCCACCATTAGCTGACCACATAAAGACTTGACTATTCTGACCACTGGGCTTGACCACTAGAGTCATTGTTTATGAAGTCGGACGGTATGACTGAAACTCCTCTCTAAGCTCACCAAGACACAGAAACCCATAATAAAAGACCGACGTAATAACCCACCCGGAATCAACACTAAAATAAAATAATTTTTAAAAAGTACGTTTGTCAATACAAATTTCTGTGTGTGTCTGTCTCTGTATGTGTGTGTGTGTGTGGGGAGGGGGGGGGGGCGCTTGCGGGTGAAACAGCGGAAAGCTTTTTGTGATAATATAACACGAGACCTAAATTATGTTTTTATCGGAATAAACGAACTACGAAATACAACAACTTCAATAACTTTATATCACTGATGCATGAAATCCACACCGACGCGTCCATTATTGAATTTCTTTTATCTGTATTCCTTTATTCTTTTTGTAATAAACATTTGCTTAGTTCGCATCTGTCTGTCTGTCATTCTGTCTGTCTGCTATTCTGTTTGTGGAAAATCTTAGAAACTAAATGTTGTTTATTATATTACTTTCATCTTATTTCCTTAACCTTGTTACTTTCATCTTCTGCTGTCTTCTTACGTCCTTCTCATTACTTAACTACAGAATAACTTTACTGTTTCATTACAACTATGGGAAAGAATGTGAATAGTAAAATAAATATTTCGAACTTAACTTTTATCCTAACCTAAATCATTACTAATCTCAAAACCCTATTAAGTATTTTACACTGTACTGCCACATTCCTAAAAAAATACTCAGCAATTTTTCTTCAAGGTATTTACATGTGTACCATAATTTTACATTTCTAAACCGATCGCCTGCCCAGACCCTCCTCCCCTCCCCTCTCCTCCATATTACCAACGAAACTTTTTCTGTCGTTAGGAATGTTAATAGCGACCTAATCCTTCCTTAGTCCACGGGGTCAAGCCTTTCAAAGTCTCTTTAGTGGTCAAATATTTTCGCCCCAAATTTATTGCCCTCCCTGTCACGCTTTGAATGGGATTTTAAAAAACTTCCCACGGACCTTCACATCCATTGTGCCGGCTGACTCAAATCGGCTGCCGGCTGACTCAAATCGGCTGAACCGGCAGGGAGCCGGCTATTGTATGAAAGGGTTGAAAAGCCCAGGAGAAATGCCGTGAAATGTGGGTAAGTAAAAGCAAATATTCAGAGAGGAGTTTGTGCTTTGTCTTCCGTACAGAGATGTAGAGGGGTCGACGGTGGACTTAGCATATCAATTAAAATAGTTTGATTGTAGGGAAGGCTATAATCGCTGAGTAATAGTATGTTAGAAACTGGGCTTGGGTCATTTAGGTGGTGGGTGTGGGTCACTAAGGGTTGGGGAAAGGTCAGTTAACTGGCTAGATGATGACTTAGTAGGCTAAGAAAAAGCTGACTTACATTGTAGGTTGAAAAATAGAACAGTGTAATCAAAGCTAAAGCACGTGGATTTAAGTTAAGTTAGGGCTAAACTATTTTCACGAAAGTATATATAAAGTATATAAAAAATTAATGAAAGTTAGGATATAAAACTTAATGAAAGTTAGGATATAAAACTTAATGAAAGTTAGGATATAAAACTTAATGAAAGTTAGGATGTAACACATAATGAAAGTTAGAATATGACACTTACTGAAAGCCTGGATAAAACACATATCAAAAGTTAAACTACTCCATTAGATAATTCGATTCCCAGATTAGTAGCTTACATCAATGTAAGGAATTATGGTGCCAACACATTGCCCAGCCACCCAAAGCCTTGGTGGTCATCCATAAATGACGTCACGCTTTTTTTTGGGACAATTTCCCCCTCTCAGCCGTCACACATCGTCACAAAAAGCCAGACAGCCCCCCCCCCCCTTTAGAAAGACGTCACACCTCAACCTAGAACAACCCCAAAATGGCAGTTGAATTGTTTCTAAAACATAGAATTCTTTCTAAAATATTAACTGTGCTCGGTCAACATAAAAAATTCAATTTCTAAAGTTAAATGTAACAAAAAATGCAAAAATGTGACGCCAAACTATCTAATCCCCTCTCCACACATCGTCACAAAATCACGACCCCCCCCCTCCCCCTTATGAGTGTCACATTATTTATGGATGACCCCTGTTCAAGTAGATATCAAAACAGTCTAGCAGGCCCGTCTCAATGGGATCCGAACCTTAGTCAACTCCCCCAAACACCAGCTACCACAGATAGACATGTGAGACGCATTCACTGAAAATAAAAACGGTAATGCTAATAAAATTACAGTAACATTGCACAATACACTTTTTTAATGGAGTCGTCGCATTTCACGTGTATTTATTGTTCTAGAAAATCGATTGCTTAAACGAGTCTAAAATTGTTTGCCTCGATGTACGCATTCTATGAAGTCCCCCTCCCCCCACACCACCTTAGTTTTCACCTCTCTACTCACTCACCTTTTCACTCACGTGATGTCATCGACCTTGAACGCGCGGGTTTTTCACCCGATTGCTCATGGTTTTTACCAGTTGCTTGTAACCTGTTATTGATTTAACTTTCATGTCACGGCCAGGTTGCCATTGTTAGTGGCTAGTTACCGGGTCACGTGGGTCATGTCCCCACATTGCCAGCAGTGAGTAATGGGGCAGGTATAGACAGAAGCACGTCAAGTTGGGTTTGGTGTAATGGTCAGTTTTTATTTAGACTTTAGAAACGCTCGCAACATTTGAAGCGTCGCAGTTTCGTCCTAAGAGTGGCATAAAAATAACACGATAGTATTCAAACTTTTTTGTTGTTGTTGACACTTCCTGTGTTTTTAAAAAAATGTAAATTCGTTATGCACAGCTGTAAAATACTTGGTGTTCACACGATAATTGAAATGACGTAAACGATGTCGATAACATCTTAATTTCCCGTTCGTTTCCAATACCTCGGCATACGAAGGGTTAGTGTGGTCAACACTATGTCCAGTCGCCTTTGTTTTCCTAACGTAAGTTTGAATCCATCAGAGCTGGGTAGACTCATGGACGTTCCACTGATTGCGAGCCCGGATTCGAACTCGAGACTCTCGGGTTAGCAGTCTAGCTAGCTCTCTACCCTCTATATCACGCCGTCCCGTAGTATTCTAACTGGTCGAGCATGTTTAAAAAAATTGAAAGACTAATATTTCGCAGAAATTAAATAACCATGTCAACTTTTCATTACGTAGTATCAATTGTCGGACATTTGAAGTAGTCAATCGCTGTTCGGCATTGTCTTTTATGAGCTAAAATAAAATAAATAAATAAAATGTGTAAACATATTTTGACCTTTGAGAATAAGGTTATTAATTTAAAAATATAAACTAATAGAACAATTATATGTTTGCTGTAAAAAGTACGTTTAAAATCATTGTTATAAAACAAATACAAATGTACACATTGGTGGTCGCCCTTTGTATTTGCCCGAGTGACTCATCTTTTTTGTACTATTTTTATTACAAATCCCACCCAACCGACCAAAGAACTCATGCCTTAAAATAAAGGATCGAGTTTTTGTGATAAAACGAATGGACTTGTATCTTTAGACAAAATATTGATTGAGATCTTACATCGAAGGTGATCATTATCGATTCGAGAAGTTTGGATCTATTTTTAGCACCCCATGAGCCCTAGTGGTGGAGGGTGGGGAGAGGGTGAAAATGTTACGGTCGATTGGAGCGTGAGTAATGTTGTGGTACAAGTAAGTGGCTCAAGTAAGCCAGGCATGTTGAAACCTGTGCTCACTTCACACTGGGACGTCCAGTAGGCTTACATGTTTTATGAACACAGTATAACTGTTTATATATAATGTGTATATTAAAATAATTAAAATTTAAAACTTCGCCTATAAATATACAACAATATAGATGGAACAGATAGATCTACCAGTTTTCCATATTATGACAAGAAAAAAATTGTCTGCCCTTGATAACTACGTTTTATTTTTTTTGTCAGAATGCTACACCTAATTAAGCTTAATTAAATTATTGTGCGTACAACGTGTTAATGATTTGTTTATATATAGCGGTGGTTGATTACGTATAGGGGAAAGCCCCTTTTTATTGTAGTCAATATGTGGCCGTAAATGATTCCTCATGATGTTTTACTGCCCCCCCCCCTCCTCCCTCCCATCGCCACTAGTGGTTATATAAACTTACTCTTATTGTTATTGTTATTGTTGGGGATAAATAAAATAACGTAACAATCCAGCCCATCCCCACCCCCAAACTGCATTTTCAAAAAAAAAAACATCTTTTTATTTTTACACTACCATTAATGAAGAAGGGTCGAGATTAGGTATTTAGATCAACTGTTACAAACGTAAATTAATTTCTCTATGTTATTGTTTGAGTTGATCATAACTTAT